TCTGTGATTACTAACACACAAGCCTTAGCATGTTAGAAAGCATATTACATTTTCTAATTCCCTTCACATCTTGGAGAGAGCTGGGACTCTACATGGTTCTATCTGAAAGAAGGCAGAGCCCTCCCCCCCACCCCATAAGGGGTAAAAACACATAGGGCTTCAAATTAAAACTGGTAGAAAAGTAAAACAAAGGGAAAAAATACCTCCATAAGCATAAATTTAACAACTTAAGTGAATGGACCAATTCCTCACAAATACAAAATATACAACTCAGTCAACATGAAATAAATAATCTGAACAGCCCTGGAACAATTAAGGAAACTCCCAAAAAAGAAATCACCATGCCCAGATGGTTTCACTGAAGAATTCTACCAAATGCAAAAGATTCCTATCAGCAGCAATTCTACCAGCTCTCTTGCAGAGACACAGAAGAGAAGGGAACACCCCTCAATTCAGAGTATGAAGTCATTACTACCCTGACATCAAAGCCAGTTTAATATAAACCATTTTCCCTGGTGAACATAAATGCAAAGATCCTTACCCAAATATAAGCATATAGAATTAAATAATATATCAGAATACAGACCATGATCAAATGGATTATTACAGAGAGGCAAAACTTGTTCAATGTTTGAAAAGTCAGTCAATATAATCACCATTCTTTAACAGGCTGAAGATGAAAGACCACATGATCATATCAATCAATACAGAAAAAAAGCATGACAAACTTCAACACTCATTCATCATAAGAAAAACAGGAAGACAGAGGAAATGTCCTCAAATTGATTATTTCTGATGTGTAAAATACCAAAGCTAACTTTGTACTTAGTAGTAAAAGGCTGAATGCTTTCCTGCTAAGATTGGGAACAAAGCAAGGATGTTTACTTACCATTCTTACTCATCATAGCACTGCAAGTTCCAACCAGTGCAATAAGGTTAGAAAAGGATATAAAAGAAACACAGACCAGAAAGAAAAGAACAAAATCACCCTCATTGAGATGTGATAGTTTATGTAAAAAATTCCTAAGGAATCTACAAAAAGTAGCAGAACCAGTAGGCAAGTTATCAAGGTGACAGAACACAAAATAAGCATATAAAAATTAATTATATTTCTAAATACTAGGACTAAACACATAGACACAAAAATTTTTAAATACAGTAGCAGGGGCTGGGAGTATAGCTCAGTGGTACAGAGTACTTGCCAAGCATGCATGAGTCAGGTTCTAGGTTCAATCAAAATGTGTGTGTGTGTGTGTGTGTGTGTGTGTGTGTAAAGTAGGTTCTACCACTGAGCTACAGTTTAAACCCCAACTGATTTTTTAAAAAAAGGAATGAAAAGAAAAAGGTGGGGCTGTGGTAGCTCAACTGGTCGAGGCTCTGCTTTGCAAGCATGAAGCCCTGAGTTCAAATCCCAGTCCCACAAAAAAAAAAAGAGAAAAAAAGATGGCCTTTTCAACATTGGTGCTAGAACAATTAGATACCATAAGCAAAACAAATAAACAATGTACCTTAGATCATGAATTTAAATGTAAAACTATAAAAATTTTAGAAAAAGAGTATGGGAAATTTTTCAGAATTGAGGGCTAGGCAAAAAATTCTTAGCTTTGACACCAAAAGCACAATCCATATCAAGAAGCTACTGAGAAGCTGGGTGTAATATCAGCACTCTGGAGTCTGAGGTAGGAGAATTGTGAGTTCGAGGGCAGCCTGGGCGACAAAGCAAAGGCCTACCTTAAAAGAAAAGGGGGGGAGGGAGGGAAGGAGGGAGGAAGGAGGGAAGGAAGGAAGGAAGCAAGGAAGGAATGAATTATTGAAGGATCACCTCCATCAAAATGAGGAAGTAAAGAAAAACAAAAGTTTGTTTTTTGGTTTTGTTATTGTTGTTTTTAATGAGGAAAAGGGAATACCTAGGGAAATTCCAAGCCCAGACTAAGTTCTAGAGAACAACCAGCCCAGAGTCCATCAGTTCAGAAGACTAAGAAACCTTCAAGAAGATAAAACAGACAGGAGAGTAAATGCATCTAAATATTCAAAAAATCATTTACATAACAGGAAGGGCTTGGATTACACTGTTGAAAAGTATACAGAAACTGAAACCAAAAGAGGAAAAACAAGATGATTATTAATACTAGTGGAAATAAAGTTGTATTTAAAAGCCATAGTAATTATAGTCTATTAGGTGATTCGGCAGGAATAGTTTTCTTACATAATAAAGTAAAAACTAATACTAACATAACCAAACACTGCTAAAAACTTATTGGTTGGTATTTTGGAAGAATGGAGGATGAGAACGATGCAAGTAAAAGGAAAGATAAAAGAGCTAAATCTTTACTTCCATAGGAGATAAGGCCTAAAATGAAGGAAAATCAAGAACTGGCAGCATTGGAATATTATTCAGAAGCATATTAAAGGAATCAACTAGAGTGGTTGCCTTTAGGATCCTGAAATGGCATAGGAAAACCCTTGGGGCAGGGGGGGCTGTTTGATGGTTTTGCAACAAGCTTAGTTCACCCCGACTATGAAAAAATATAAACTACATTAAAAACAAAAGAAACTTCTCGCAGCTAATGCCAGAGTAGGCCAGACTTGAACCCTAGTCAGGTCCATTAATTTGTCAGCTCCATGGGCCTGCACTTCTTAGTTCCTCCATTAATTCCTCCACTCCGTGCCTGCCTAGCACAAAATAAACCCTTAAACATGTTTTGAAATGAATGAGAGAAAGTGAAAGCTTGGGATTGCTTTTCTCACAAAAGTAAATGAATGAGAAGAACATTACAGGCAGAGGAAACAGAAGCAAAGATAGGAAACAAAGTGTGTGAGAGCTAAACAAGCATGGAGCAAAAAAGGGGAAGGAGGAGGAGTAATGAGAAAGCACCTAGAAAACTCACTGGTTGTAGAAGGGAGACAGAGCAAAATGGGAAGCTTGGAGCTACAAGGAAAGCTCAGAGCTGCTCAGCAAGAGAGTGGGAAGATATTGATGCTTTGCAGGCAATCCACATGGTCTTGAGCCTCGTGGTTGGTTGGTTGGTTGGTTGGTCTCACAATGAAGATGGTTCCTTCCCAAAAAGTTTCAGCTTTGTGGAATCCAAAGTAGTACCAAGCTTTCTAAAGGCCACAGTTCTTTCAGTAGCTCAGCTGCAGTTACAGCTACTGAAAGGGTGATCCCACAAGAGCAAGCAGAGCCTGGTGCAATCCCCACAATGGCATCCTCACCTAGTTTTTTTTTTATCTTTCTCTGCTCTTTACCAAAGCATTAAAATCCAGGGCACAAAGGAATCATCATCTCTAAGTGAATATATGCATCTGCTATTACCATATATTTATTTATACATACATTTATTTCATCCAAAGGTGATTAAGTCATTTACTCTATGTCAAGCCATGTGAGGGAGTATAAAGTTTCTGCTTTTAAGTAACTTGTTTTCTGATGGCAGACTACATAAAACAACAGGCTAAGCACTATAATTGGTATAAACAAAAGTACTGTGGAAGCACTAAGGAATAAAAGATTATATATTTAAAGTCTTTATTACAAACAATGTCAACAGAAGTAAAACAGACTAACAGACTTCCATAGGGCTATCGCTCTGCTTTGATCATTATCAACTCATGGCCAATCTTGTTTTTTTGTTTAAATCCACTTATTGTTTTCAAGATATCACAATATTTCATCCACAAATATTTCAGCATGTATCTGTAATACATACTCTTTCTTAAGCATAATATAAATCTGAATCTTTAAAAGGGAGTAATTTTTTAAACTGAGGTATAATTAGCATATGATAAAATGCACAGATCTTAGGCTGGAGATGTGGCTCAAGTGGTAGAGTGCCTGCTTTGCAAGTGTGAAGCTCTGAGTTCAAACCCCAGCCCCACCCAAATTAAAAGCACAGATCTTAATGTGCTTGACTTCTGACAATTATATACCCCTGTGTGACCACTAGCCAAAATAACGTATTTCCATGACCCAGAAAATTCCAATATGCCCCTTTCTGGCCCATTTCCAAACCCAGATAACCACTTTTTGACTTCTAGCTCCATAGCTAACTTTGACTGTACGTGGATTTTTTTTTCTTTTTTTTTTTCTTTCTTTGTACATGGATTTTTATAAATGGAATCAAAGATTATAAAGTTTTTAGGTTTTGGTCTAAATAGGAGGCAGGCATTCCAGGTGGAAAGAATTACTCATGCACAAAATATAAAGTTGTATAAGGACATGATTGTGGAATGCTGAAGGGCTCAGGGTGGTTGAAGACTGGGATTGGGGTTTGGTAACCGACAGAAGACAACACTAGAAGAGAAAGCTCCCTGGAAAATTAAGGTTTCCAGATTAAACACCACAGATAATCTCTGGGAAACAAATTATTAAATAAGTTTTCCCTAATGCCCCAAACTGTTTCTCTGATCTAAAAATTGGTCAGTTCTCTCAGTATGCTCCTTTCTCCTCAATCTCCAGCTGAGAATGATCAAGGCAGGAATAGTGTCCTATTTCCTCTAGCTATTTGCTCTCACCTTGTGCAGAGTGCTTTCTGTCATCTCAGAGAAAGAAACAACCTCACCACCACCACCACTGCCATGGCTTTCTCAGGAAAGCACAATCTCTACCCTCATTTCTTTTAGTTTGTTTTGGTGGCACTGGGCTTTGAAACTAGGCCTTGTGCTTGCTAGGCAGGTGCTCTGCCACTTGAGCCACTCCACAAGTCCTTTTTCCTTTAGTTACTCTTCAGATAAGGTCTGTTGGGTTTTGAGGGTTTTTTGGCCTAGGGCCAGTCTTGAACCCCAACTTCCTACCTACACATCCCTAAGATTACATATGTGCCCTACCACACCCACTTTAGTTGTTGAGACAGTTCTTGCTAATCATTTCTCCTGGCTTGCCTCAACTTGCAATCCTCCCAATCTCTGCCTCCTGAGTAGCTAGAACTGTAGGCATGAGCCACGTGCCCAGCCTCTCTACCTCCATTTAAAGCAAGTTGTCCCAGGTCCAGGGGCAGCCTTACCATGATCTGGATTTCCCTCTTGCACACCTGGAGATCATGCTCATTGTTGACAAACATGCGTTTCAAGGCACATTTTATCCCATTGCTTGTCCTCACCAGAAACACCAGAGCAAATCCACCTGTGAAAGAAACATACATATAAGCTCCTTTGAGTCATGTTCAAAAAGTCAGTCAGACAACTACAGCAGCTGCGTGTTATTGCTGTCACTGTTAATGTGCTGATGCCACTGTTGGCCAGCCCTTAAGGATGGGTGGGCCCGGAAGGCTTTCTTAGATTCTTGGAACTTGGAGATATTACTGGTGGGACCAGGAGTAAGAATCAAGAGAAATGCTCTTAAACATGTATCTCCTGGTGAAGAAAAGATAGTAATTATCTTCCAAAGAAATTACAAATAAACAGAAGAAGAAAAAAGACCCAACTACATTATAACCACTGTCCTAGGTACTCTGATGCTCTTATTTAATCTTTACCATAATCCTGTAAGGCTAGTATTATTCTTCCTATTAAAACAGGTCCTAGTTGAAGAAAATAATGGCTCAAAGATTCCATTCAAACCAAGATTATTTTTAACGTGACTCCAGTACTCTTTCCCTCATATCACAGAGGCAGAAAATTATCTCAATAATTGCTATCATAAATTGTTGTCAATTTGTTACAAGAATCCCCTTTCCTTTTCTTCTCATTCTTCCTCACTCCACCTCCCAATTCAAGTCTAACAGTAGACATGGAGGACTCCCCCTGCTCTCTACCTCATAGGCTATCAAGAAGATACAATATACAGGTATGAGAGTGCTGTTCTACACTGCAGACAACAGGACTCAATTATTGGGTAGACTCTTTAACATCCTCACTAACCTTTCTCTAAAAGATAGTTCACAATTCATTAATAGATATTTATATAATTCTAACAGGAATTCTCAAATGCTCAACAAATTTTTAGAACTCCTAACCTCAACCCCACTCCCAAAGCACTGTATCTGGTGTTCCATGCCCTTATTAAGAGGATTAGATAAGAAAGGTGTGGCAAAGCTTTGGAAAAAGCATTTATACTGAACACTCAGCCCATCTGTTTCTTTGTACACCTTCATCAGTTAGCTTGAATATCCTGTCTATTGACAGCAAAATATCACTAGGCTACCCTATGCACAGAGGTGATTAATTAGAAGTGAACACAGAGGGAAGTCAGCAGTATGGGAACTTAAGCTGAAATTATCATACAGTATTGGGGCAGGCAGGCACCTGAAAAACTGAAATAGCCAGTAAGCAGAGACCTCAGGCCTCTAAGTAATAAGACTCGGGTTCCAACAGTGCCATTCCAACTCCATTGAGGCTCAAAAGCATATCAGAACCTATTTTGCTGATCTCCATGGCATTTCTTATTAGCTTTGTAGCAATCATACTTTTCCAAATTAACTTGAATAGGAATCTACTCCTTGCAACTAAAAGGAATCTTAACCATAAAGTGTTGTTTCATGTTTTCATAAAATACATACATAATTTTGTAAAAAATATTTTAATGGACTCAAAATGGTCCAAGTGGGCATCTAATAATGATTTGCCAGAGACAACAAGCTTTTATATTTTCTGTCACTGTTCTTCTATATTCAGATAAACACTAAAATTTACCACCCAATCTTTAATATTAATCACGTCTCTAATCTTTTTATCAATAATTTTTTCTTTTCCTTATAAAATATCAAATGGCTCCATTATCAATTTTAATTGTAGAATTTTGAGTATTTACCTTTTTAAAAAAACTCTAGCATTGAACATTAGTCTGTTGGTGTATGTCTCTCACATACATACATATGCACACACAAACACACAATTCCTAAAATCTAAAATGCACATTTTATATTTTAAGTTTTAGCATATCAGAATTTGCCTTCTAATAAATACGTCCAATTAATGTAGTGGTATTTATCTTCTTTTTTTCCCCAAAAAAGTTATTAAAACCATAATGGATATTATAATTAGTTAGAACTGGGGAAAACGGTGGTATAAATTACAAATTTTCCATTTATATTCATAATTGTTTTGTACATAGTCCAAGTGAGTATTCATTTTATGAATATTCTGGATATAGTAAAAATTCATAGAGCTATAGACTTTGGACCAGTAAAGCTAGACAGCATTAAGTCCAAGAATTTTCCTATATGGGTGGAAAACTCAAGAGAGGCTTAGGTGTCCCATGGCTAGTTATGGGCAGAACCTGGAAAGGTTTCATTCTCCAAACTGTCCAAAAAATGTTCTTTCCAATTTGTCCATTGGAGAAAAAGCATGTGATAACCCTTTACAAAATAAGGAGATATGTGATAATGCTTCAGAACAAAAGCTGGGAGTGGGTATTTCCTTCATTGGAAATGAGTAACCCTTCATTTTACTTATGGTTAACCACAGGAAGTGACACAATCCATGTTCCACAAAGTTAAAAAGATGACTTACGAATAACTCCAAAATACACATATTAACTCCTATGTAGGTTATCACAGTTCTTGTCCTTCTTGCCCGAAGAGAAGTTAATGAATATCCCCTACCCGGCGTTTGCATATGACATATTTTAAAGGCAGGTCATTATGTGGCGGCTGGCACCACGCAAGGGTGATGCTGCTGCAATGTCAGATAACTGCCACCAGATGGAGCAGCGCAGTAGCAAGATGACCTTTCCAAGCAGAACTGAAAAAATGGCGGGCCTAGCACACAATTCAGCGAGTACACTGGTTAGGAAGCCAGCTCAGATTCTCAAAGCATACAAGCACGATAAATCTAAAAGCAAAGCAATGAGTTCTTGTGCCTAACATAGTCAGAGCCACGTTATTAAGCACCTACGCCTGTAAAGGGCTTATCTAGGTAAGGATTAAACCATGAGATCAAAACTGAAGCCTAGAAGGATTTGACTTTCTAAAGCTGCCAATTGCTATCACTGTGCAGTTGACCAAATGGAGATGTAAACTAGTAGGTCAGAAGAAAGAGGAGAGATAGCAGCACCCAAGCCACCTCTGGAGCACAGGTCCCATGTCTACCACACCAGTTGGGGTAATGACTCTCAATTAGAGCTATACAAGGTTCAGGCTATTACAGAAGAAGCTGTCAGAAGAGAAGACTGTCAACAAAGATGCTTATTGCAGAATGAATTGTACCCCAAGATCTTAAGTAAGTGGAAAAATCCAAAGCTGAGTTGAGGATGGCTTGACCAGAGATAAGAAAATCTAAATGACCTGAGCCAGTCTCTCTGCCTTAATGACATTTTCTGAAACACTAAGAAAATCTCATCCACAAATTTACTAAATCACAAAGAGAAAAGGGATATAGTCTACTAAGTAAAGAGAGCAAATGAGGCAGGCGGGATAATTTTGACACAGCCACACTTTGCCTATTAAATATGTAGGTTTTTTTTTTTTTAACTTACACAAAGAAACATGCTTTCTCCCATTTTCCCTAATTCTTTACCTAATTTTCTAATTTTTTTGTGGGGAGAAGGCACCAGGCATCACTGTGGCTTCTTGCACTTGCTGGGAAGGCACTCTACCACACGAGCACACCCCTAGCCCTTTTCACTTTATTTTTCAGATAGGGTCTTGCATTTTTGCCTGGAGTTGGTCTTGGACTGCAATTCGCAGGTGCGTGATACCACACCCAGGTTATTGGTTGAGATAGACTCCCACTACCTTTTTTTTTGCTCAGCTGGCCTTGATCTTCCTGATAGACGTCTGTCTCTTGACCAGCTGGGATTATAGACATGAGTCACCTTGCCTGGCCTTTCTATTTTTTGGTAGAAATACAAATGATTACAATTCACCAGGAATGGTTCTCCTCTGGGTCATCATGTCCTAGAACTGTGCCTCACATATAGTATGAATTCAATAATGAATTAAATTTCCTCCTTTTTTTAATGGGAGTGGCCAACAATGGCTAGTCTATTGGAAAGAAGAAACTTTACAGCACATTCTGAATAAGTTAGTTAGGGGGTTCAATGGGCCAACTGGTAGGGCACCAGCTTGCAATGGGTTCCACAATTTGGGCGTCACTGAATCTTGCCTTTGTACTGCCAGAACCAGATGACAGTACAGCTGTCCTCTTTACAAATATAGCCCATTATTCTCTTGTTGGTAATGGATGGGACTAAATTAGATGCCTTGGTACCTGAAGCTACCTTTGAGGACAGCATTTTGTATGGGTGCAGACCCTTCTGTGCAGCAATCACAGTCTCCCTTTGCAGCCCAGTGCCCTGCATTAGTTGGAATACCACCTCCAGAAGCCATGGATCACCCATTGAGACCATGGGCCTCAGGGCCTGTGCAGTCAATGCTCTGGCTCTGAGAAGTAACCTTGAAGTCAACACATCTACAACCAACCTAAATTTCCTCTTAATTACTACTACAGAGAACAGAAAAGAGGACAGAGTGTAGTAGAGACTATGGGAAACTAGTGAGCATGCCTAATGTGCATTTAGCAAAGACCTGTTGTCATGTAGGAACATGGACTTGGTTTTGTCAGCAATGTTAATTCCTAAGCAGAAGCTAGGAACCCAAAATTTTATGTGAAAGCTCCAAATTTATTTATTTTTTATTTTTCTTTTTTTATTATATTCATATGTACAGACAATGTTTGGGTTATTTCTCCCCCTTTCCCCCTGCCCCTTCCCTTACTCCCCCTCTCCCTCCCTTACCCCCCAACCCCTCACTACCAGGCAGAAACTATTTTGCCCTTATCTCTAGTTTTGTTGAAGAGAGAGTATAAGCAATAATAGGAAGGACCAAGAGTTTTTGCTAGTTGAGATAAGGATAGCTATTCAGGGAGTTGACTCGCATTGATTTCCTGTGCATGTGTGTTACCTTCTAAGTTAATTCTTCTCAAACTAACCTTTTCTCTAGTTCCTGGTCCCCTTCTCCTATTGGCCTCAGTTGCTTTAAAGTATCTGTAAAGCTCCAAATTTAACACTGGCAAAAAGCCGCATTTTCAATTAATGCAGAACTGGCCAACACTTAAGAGGTAAAACACACACACACACACCACCTGGAAAGCTTTAGAGTCTCTGAGCTTTTGGTATTTTTCCTCTGATCTAGTGTAACCCTTCATTTTACTGATGGTCAAGGACAGGAAGTAACATAGCC